TTATGGTTAAGGTTAAAGCTCAGTAGGGGTTAAAGGTGTTGTGACTAGGAGATAAATGGAAGGTCCCCATTTAGATAGGTACGTGTGTGTGTGTCTGTGTGTGTGTGTGTGTGTGTGTGTGGTGGTTGAAATGTCTTTGTCCACTATGGACAGACTGTCTACCCAAAGAGAGTGTCACCAGTTGTCTGTCTGGCGTCCTCCCTGGAACCCGGCGTGGCCTGGGGGGGGGGGGGTACTGCCTGGAAAGCTACCTGGGGGGGGGCTCTGATGAGGAGGGACGGCTCAGCCTTTGTCTGTCTGCGTTGTTCTTCCCGGGAGCAGCGGCAGCCCAGTGGGAGCCTTTGAAGTGGACCTCTGGTGTCACGGCGCTGTCTCCATCTTCCATGGGTGTCTGGGGCACGATCCCACCCACCCCACTCGTTACCCAGAAGACCTAGCCAGAAGGTGCACTGCAGAAAAGCCCGCGTGAGTACACCATAAGCATGCTGTAGCTGATCTGGTGTGGGCAGGGACACCGTAAAGTGGGCGGGGGGGAATTAAGACGATTCCATGGGCCCCCGAGTGAATGTGGCCTTAATCTGATTGATCTGTGCTGGGGGGCCAATATAATATGCTGTCATGGGGCCCAAAATCTTTAGTAGAATCCCTGGGTGTGGGTGGTATATAAATTTGCAGGGATTTTCCGGCCCATTGTTGAGCTTTTTTGATAAATCTATCTTCATTTCACTCGCAGGACTACCGTCAGAATCAGAATCAGAACTTTACTGCCAGTACATGCAAACGTACCAGAATTATTTGTGGCTCGGTGCCAAACATGAAGTACAGGAATGAAATGACAAGACTTCACAGAACACCATGGGTGAAAAAGAGAGAAGCAATTAAGACTACACAGATTAACAGAGAACAATGCAAGACGTCTTAAGACAATACAAGACAGAGGCCCAGCAACCACAAAATCTCAATTGTAAGCATTGCTTCTCATTACCATTTAGTACAATACTGGCTGTTTTGGACATTTGGATTTTTTGTGGGATTTGTAAGTACCTTAGGGAACATGAAGATCCATGTTTGTGAGCACTTATGAATTCAAAATTCACTAGATACAGGATTAATGAACGGACATGGTGGCCCATTGGAATGTGTACACCATTGTGTATTTGTAATATTTATTTTTTGTCTTTTAGACAAATACAGCAGCACTCCTCTGGGAAAGACTAGTGGGTGATAAACGGCACCATCAGTGTAAGAGGCAGATAAAGGGAGGGGGGATTGTTACTGATACCGTTCAGACTCCTTTCCAAAGGACATGCTCCAGTTTCATCCTCTCTGAGGCCCCTGCAGGTCTCTTATTCATGCCGGTTTAAATTGCTGCTCTGCTCTTTATTTTGCATGGTTTTGAAAAAATTAGGAGACCACAGCAAAATTTTCACTTTCACTTTTCAATTTAAGTGTAAGCGCCTGTATAAAATCCATACTTCTTTGCAAACTCCAGCCTGGCTCTTCCCTGATTCTCATTGATGAAGGGCTGCTTCCTTGCTTTATGGGTCTTCAGTCCTTTTTCTAGGAGCCTGATACGAACTGTCCTAGCAGTGCACTTCACACCTACACTAAATATTTCCCATTCCTTTTGAAGGTCACTTGATGTCATCCTTCGATTTATGAGGCACTGCCGGATAAGTTGACGGTCATCTCTGACGTTAGAGAGTCTCTTCTGCCCTTTATCTGACTGGTTTTTGGTTATTGCCAGTGTCTCATGGTTCACCTTCAGGCAACTTTCTAATGCCAGACATGACCGTCAAGTCAACTTAGTTGACGGTGCCTAATACATCGGAGGACGACCTCAAATGACCTTCAAAAAGAATGGGAAGCATGAAGTGGTGTGAAGTGCACTGCTAGGACAATTCATAACAGGCTCCTAGAAACATGACCAAAGACCCATAAAGCAAGGAAGGAGCCCTTCATTAATAAGAAGCAGGAAAGAGCCAGACTGCAGTTTGCAAAAAAATGTTTATTTTAAACAGGCACATTCTCATAAAGTGAGAAATGAGTGAAACTGAGCACTTTGCTGTGGTCTCAATATTTCCAGAGCCGTATAGCTAAAGAATGAATTACAGTGCAGGAGTGCAAATGTAACAGTACAAGATTAAAAAATGATCGGCAGTCGTATTGCTAAAATGAGCAGCGTTGTAAACACGTCCCAGGACATTAGATGATGTAGTGCCAGGATATTTCATGGAGTGAATTTAAAGTAGCCTACAGAAATTAATACCATCTTCAGCCACCGAGTCGTGCACTGGTCCCTGCGATGGATGCTGCAGCTTACGTCCCCTCAGCGAAATGCAAGTCACTCTGCTCGGAGCCCCTCTTACAGACAGGTGTCTCGATACACTCCTGTCCTGTTATTAGGTGATAGAAACAGGGGGGCCAGATTAACAACACAAACAGACTCCACGGGGGGTGAGTAGGGGGCCATTAGGAAGAAAAACAACCTCCTGGAGGTAATAAGAGGCGGGGGCCAGGCAGCGGTGGGGGTAGTTGTTAAATGTGTGGCTCTATTGTTCTGACAAATTGGTCTGCGGTACTAATTGCCTGGTTACTCCCCCTTGGTGATCCTCTGTCTCCCCAGACAGCGTGGAGCACCTGGCTGGTGACGGGAACTCTCCGGAAGCCAAGGGCTGGGATACAGACACAGACTGGGGACGCTGCTCCCTAACTCCACTGGCCCCCAGTGCTAACAGAGGAAGCTAACAATGCTACTGGCAACGATGCTACTGGGGGGGGGGGGGGCTCTCAAAGGTAGATAAGAGTCTTTACTGTCACCGTGCAGAGCATCATATACAAGAGTGACCAAAGTTTGCTCTGCAATAAAGAAGACGCCAAGAGCAGGACGTCAAGGGAGGCGTCAAAGCAACACAAGTATGCGCATAGAAAATGTTCTGGCTGCAGAAAGATAATGTCAGCATGATTTTTAGGTCCCAAAAGAGGACGTATGGTCATCCTAGCATATACGATATGCATAGACAAGGACAGTGAATATAGAAACATCCACGAATTGTCACACCAAGTAATAAAAGCAACAAAACACACTGTGTTTGGCAGAAGAATGCTCGGCTGCTTGGTATGTGTGCACCGCCATCTTGTTTACTGTTGTGGTCTTGCGTGTGGCTCAGGTTGAGATGCTGTGCCTGTGATTGGAAAGTGGCTGATTCAAACCCCAGGGACAGCAGAGTGATGTCGCCATCGACCCCCCCCCCCTCAATCCCAAAGTGCTCCAGGGATTCTCTGTCCCTGCTTTTCCATAAAAATGTGTTACCTTGGACAGTATGGCTTGCTAAATACGTGCACGTGTTTTCCGCTGCTCCGAAGGCCTCAACAGATGAAGCTAATGATCTGCCGGCTTAAACTGTTGGGTCAGTCAGAGTTTTATAAAGTCCATAACAGTGGACACTAGTTTTTAACAAGAAAGTAAAAACCTCAGAAGGGTAATAGTCTGCAAAATATCAACATTAGCCCCAGCAGGCTGCTGGTTGACTGCCCCCGCTCCGGTGTACCTCCGTTAATCATTACAGCCTTAATTGCAGCACAAGGTGTGTCTGTCTGCGGTGATCTCCAAGAGTGCTCCGAGAAGATGTCTGCAGAGAAGGTGTAGCCGGCTGGCTGAAATTACCCCCCACCCCCAGCCCGTTATTCTGTAATTCCTTCTGAGATGTGGAGAGACGGGGAGATCTGAGCCGTCTTCCCTCGTATGAACAGACAGATAGAATTGGCCTGGTTATAAAGGAGCTCTCGTTTCCATCCCGGTGCCATAAAACGTTCATCAGACCATCTGTGTGTTTTAAGTGCCTTTTTGTGCTGAAGTTTATTTTCACTTGAAAATCGCAGGCTCTGATTTTTCAGTAATAATTAGTAATACCTGGAAGAAACTGTGTGGAAATCTTCTAAATAATTGTTAAGGAACCAACTTAGAACTTGTTAGATCATCTGTAAGGATCTCTGGCAAAATAAAAATGCATTGATGTTGTGAAAATTTCAATCCGAATTGTGGAATTAAGCTATAGCTGGGTTCTGAGTTCCCTGGCTCTTTAGGGGGGGCTGGAGTTTGCTTGGAAATTGACATTTGTTTCCTAAAAGCGACTGATGTGATTGTCTGTGATTTTTCAGTGAGGCACTGCGGTAGGTGCAGGCAGGGGCTTAGCTGGTCAGCTGCCCGTTCCGGAGCCCCGTGTGCTGGGGACGGTCAGGAGGGCTGACTGCTGCCCTCTCCTCTGTCTGGACGAGGGGTGAGCCGAAGCTGGGCTCCCACATCAAAGGCAGGTGAAGGCCAGGCTCGGTGCAGACGGCTCTCTCTCCCCTAATGGGAGCTGGGCTCTAATTGGGGCCTTCTCTGTAAGGGCTGTCAAATTTGCAAAGGGCCAAAACATGAAAGAGACTGTCAACCTGGAGACTGTCTGTCTATATAACTACCCCCCCCCCACCCCCACAGAAGCACCTTCTACAAAAAGGGCTGCCATCGATCCACCACATCCATTACCATATTTTATATATAACTACATTTCCAAGGACCAATTTTTTATTTTATTTCGAGGTCTACGGTGGATTGGTGTTACGGTATTCCCTGCCTGAAGCTTCTGGGATAGGCTCCCGATCCTCACGAGCCCGTAAAGGACAAGCGGGTACCCAGGATGGATGATTGAGTGAATAATAATTGTATAGTTGTAATTAAAACTAGAAGTAGATATAAAACCCTTTCAGGGTTACACTGGGGTGGAAGTGCTAGAATTGAGCTATTTTTTAAGATTCGGGCAGCCACTCGGGCTACTAAAATATTTAGCACCCCTCCGTCCGCACTGTCTTCCTCCTCCTGCGTCTGCAGGCCGCAGAGATGCCCCCAGCGTCTCCGATGCTTTGATTGGTCATTGATGGGGGGTGGGGGGTGGGGGGGGGGACTCGGCTGGGCAGCACAGCCACTATTTATAGATGGGCCGGTGACCAGGGGGGGACAGACACCGAATCTGCAGCTGCAGTACTGACATCTTCACCTCGCTCTTCCGCCTCGGGACGCTGACCCGTCTGATTCACCATGCTTCTCCTCGGCCTGCTGGCTCTCTCTCTCCCGGTACTGGGCTGGGGCCGGGCTTTCGACCTGGGCCAGTCCACCCGCTGCGTGCCCATCCCCCGCCACATGGGCGTCTGCCAAGACGTGGGCTACTCAGAGATGCGGCTGCCCAACTTCCTGGGCCACACCAGCCTGGAAGCAGAGGTGGTGCCCCGCTCAGAGGACTGGAGGCCGCTGCTTCAGACGGGCTGCCATGCCCAGGCCCGAGCCTTCCTCTGCTCCCTCCTCGCTCCCGTCTGCCTTGACACGTGAGTCTCTTCATCTTGCTCTTCTTCCTCGCTGTCTCTGTGCTCTCATGATGCTAGGTGCCGCTGTTGTGCTGTAAAATTTGCCTTGGATTCCTGCTCTAACACCCTGCTGCTGTCCCCTCTGTCTTGTTAGCATGTTGTTCTAACACCCTGCTGCTGTCCCCTCTGTCTTGTTAGCATGTTGTTCTAACACCCTGCTGCTGTCCCCTCTGTCTTG